GAGAGAGAGAGAGAGAGAGAGAGAGAGAGATTCCATTAAGGAACACCCTTGTAGAGCCCACTCAGATTTCACTAATCCAAACCGTCTATTGTTTAGATATTCATTCAAAAATTATCTCTACAAAAAATCACTTGAATCCAATATCATTTCACCACTTAATTAAATAATTGAAATACAAGTACTTTCTTAAAGCACCGTGTTCATTGATTTTGTTGGTATCAATTAGATGCCTTAATGATTTTCAATTTGCATGATTTTTTGCAAGTATGATCTCTGAATGAAGATGTGAAAAATAAATGGTTTGGATTGTTGAAAACAAATTACGTAGGAGACCTTAAAGGGTGTCCTCAAATAAAATTATTTGAAGAATCACTCAATAGAAGAGGACTATATGTATAAAATAATTGACGATACATTCATGGTTGATGACTCTTTATAAAAATTTCTTGTAAATTGTGAATGTTCTGATAACCATGGTAGCCATTGCAAGAATGAAGAAGAAAGTAAGCAAAGAAAGAATAGGAAAACCTCTAGATTGATTGCTCTGATTCTCAAAATATACAGAATGAATCTGATTACAGAGAGACTTAGCTTTTATATGCTATTAACACAAAACTAAACAGACTATTAACCATCTAACTATATTGGAATCTAACCACGTGCTATTAGTTACAATGCCAGCTGTAGTCAACAACTCAGTCAATGGACACCTGTCTTCATGTTCAAGCGAAAAAAAAAATTAAAAAAAAAAGAGAAACAAAAAGCATTCACAAAAAGAGAAAAGCTTTGCCACTTGCAGCACAGGCGCATGCCATATATCTGCATCAAACATTCTTGTCATATTCAATCGTGCTTCGTCAACTATTTATTCTTTAAGACATATTGCGAAGGAGGGGCAATAAATAAAATAGGTGGCATGCCTATAAATACGCATGTAGAGTATCCAACTATACACAGCATTTTCAGCACAAAAATAGTTTCATGTCTAAGATGGAGTCGTTTTCATGGCTGTATCTCCTCTTCTTGTTATGCACTTCTCAATTTATCTGCTTATCATCATTTAATTCTTCTTCTTCTTCAGGTCATTTGTGTCATCTTGATGACAGTTCTGCTTTGCTTCAATTCAAGAACTCATTCGCTATTGATACCTCTGGTTTTGATTCTGTTGATGCTTTTTTTGTTTATGGAATCACTCCTTATCCTAAAACAGTCTATTGGGATAAGGGCAAGGACTGTTGCATATGGAGTGGCGTCACTTGTGAAAGAACGATGGGGCATGTGATAGGCCTCAACCTTGGATACAGTGGGCTTCAAGGCAACATTCATCACAACAGCAGTCTTTTCTCCCTTCGTCATCTCCGGAGGCTAGACCTCTCTAACAACAACTTTAGAGGTTCCCCAGTTTCATCCAACTTTGGCGGGTTTGTAAGTATGACTCACCTTGACCTTTCCGACTCCAACTTCACTGGTCAAATCCCTTTTGAAATCTCCTACCTTTCCAAATTGGTTTCACTTAATCTCTCTTCTGAGACCCATCAAGTGAGCCTAGGGACAGTTAGTTTGAAAAGGATTGCCCAAAACCTAACCAACCTTAAAGAGGACGGTGTTAACATGTCTTCAGTTGTACTTGATTCATTCATGAATTTGTCTTCTTCTTTGACATCTCTTAGTCTCGTTGATTCTAATTTGAAAGGGAAATTCAGAGAAAATTTTCCGCCTACCAAACCTCCATGAACTTTATTTAAGTTACAACTATGAGTTCAATGGTTCTTTCCCAAAATCTTATTGGAGCAATCCACTCAAGTTCTTGGGACTCTCTTGGACTAGAATCTCAATAGATTTGCCCTATCTGACTACAACTTTGAAGTGCTTGAGTTTTTTGTATCTTGAGCATTGCAATTTTGTAGGAGCATACCCTACATTGCTTGGTAATCTTACACAAATCACGAGGTTGGACCTCTCAGATAATGGTTTTGGTGGCCAGATCCCATGGTCGCTTTTAAACATGGAGAGTCTCATTTCCTTAGATCTTTCAAACAACAATTTTTCGGGTCAACTCCTAGATCTTCATAGTAACTCAACACAAATGCCTGCATCTTTATATGATTCTTCAAAAGAACGGCTAGTGGGTCCTATTCCTTTGCATTTAAACGAACTCTTCTTATATAATAACTCACTTACCGGAACAATACCATCTTGGCTATATATCTTGCCCTCTTTGGAAGCTTTAAGCCTCAGCCACAACCAACTCACTGGGAACGTCAAAGAATTCCAATCTAGTTCTTTGGTGTATCTTAATTTTGGTCATAACAGATTACATGGCCAAATTCCAAGATCAATCTTTGAATTTCCAAACCTGGGAGAGCTCGATCTGTCATCAAATAACTTCAGTGGGTTTGTGAAGTTTGGAAAGTTTCCGAAACCCCAAAATCTTCTTAGGCATCTTTATCTTTCTAATAACTCTTTGACAGGTATAGAACAAGTATTTCCGTGGAAAAACTTACAAGTTCTTGACCTCCGCACCAATTTGCTCCAAGGACAACTTCCTATTCCACCACCTTCTACATTTGTCTTCTTGGTATCACACAATCAGTTGACGGGAGGGATTCCTTCAAAGATTTGCAACCTCAGTTCCCTTGTAGTCCTTGATTTGTCTAATAACAACATGAGAGGCGAAATTCCTCCATGTATAGGAAATTTGACCAGTCACAACCTCTCAGTTCTGGATTTACATATGAATAAATTTCTTGGAGTGATCCCTTCAACATTCACAAAGGATAGCATCTTGAGGAATCTTGACCTTAATGGAAATAAGTTGGAAGGGCCATTGCCGCAAACTCTGTTGAATTGTAGAAAGTTGGAAGTGCTCGACCTAGGAAACAACGAGATAAACGACACCTTCCCCAACTGGTTGGAATCCCTTCCAACGTTACAGGTTCTTATCTTGAGATCTAACAAATTTCATGGTCCTATAATCAGTCCAAAAACTATATTTCCATTCCGAATGTTGCGAATTATGGACCTCTCCCATAATCAGTTTAGTGGTCTTTTGCCAAGGAAATATTTTGAGAACTTGATGGGTATGATACATGTACGAGATAATGGATTGAAATACATGGATCATGGCTATTATCAGGACACTGTGAGAGTAGTGATAAAAGGTTCCTACTTGCAGTTGGAAAAAATCCTAGTCATGTTCACAACCATTGATTTCTCAAACAATATTTTCGCAGGAGACATTCCAATGGTGATTGGTAAGCTCAAATCATTGAAAGGGCTTAACTTTTCTCACAATCAGCTTACAGGTTATATTCCACGCTCTTTTGGTAATTTGACTAATCTTGAATGGCTAGACATCTCCACAAACAAGCTTGTTGGTGAGATTCCTAGAGAATTGGCAGATTCACATGGCTTGAAAAATTAAACCTTTCAGAAAACCGACTTGTGGGGTCCATACCCAATGGCAAGCAGTTTGATACATTTGAGAATGATTCATACAATGGAAATTTGGGATTGTGTGGACTTCCACTTTCCAGAACTTGCATCAATGATGTGGTATATCCACTGCCATCATCATCCTTTCAGTAAGAAGATGATTTGGAGGATGTGAATGGATTTCATTGGAAAGTAGTATGGATGGGGTATATGGGATTGGAATGGTAATTGGAATATCTACGGGATATCTCATACTCTCAACTGGAAAACTTGATTGTGTTGTGAAAGTGATTGGAAGAGAACTACGAAGTAAAATGGTGAAAATACCAAAGCAGAGTCTTCACGTGCACAAAGTTAGAAGTAGAATTGAATGATTGATGTTGTTTTGCTTAATGATTACAAGTGATTCCAATGTGTCTTTCTTAAATGTTTTCACTAATCTAGTTTTAATGCACGTTGTTTCATCTTTATGTTTATGTTTATGGGGAAAAAAATACATTGCTTACTGTTATCTTGGTAGGTTTTTTTCTTCTTTCTTTAGCTTGGTATGCAAAAACCTTCTGAGCGAACTCCTGACCTAGATTCTTGTGAAGGCCATGCTCATCCTACAAAATGGCTAAAAGCAATGAATTATACTAGTGATGATCTCTGACATAATCTGACACTGTCACACATCACGAACAAACAAATAAATGCCTTAGCCAATGACCATCATAAGTTTTAACAGATTGTGTGTGACAAAATGCCGCAACAAAGAGATTGTGATCGAATGACATTAAATTGTGATCTGAGGCAATTTTTGTACAATTTCTCAAGTTTAAAAGCCCTTTCAAGTTTGAACAGATCAAGACGCAGTACAACGTACACAGGGGCGGATCCACAGAGGAGCAAGGGTGTTCAATTGACCCCTGCAACCTCTGAAATCCTCCATTAGAGCAGCCAATCTTGACCCTCGCAAGGTGTTCGACGGAATGCCCCAAAGGGGCAACTTGTGTGCAGCTGCGCGCCTTCTCTTTTTTTTGTTCGCTGGACGTCAAAACGACGTCGTTCTACTTAAGTTTTTTTTTTTTGGTCTCTCAACATCAAAACGACGTCGTTTCTTCACAGGTTTTTTGAAAAAATTTTTAAAAAAAGCCCAGCTTGCTACTGCTTTCCCCACCCCCAGATAATTCCCCCCCTTTCATACAAATGTAATTCATTAGTTTCATTGAAGGGAAATAACCAAATTTACTTATAAAATAATATAAAAAAACCTCATCTCCCTCCTCTCTCTCTCATCAGAGTTTTCAAAACAGATTAGTTCATTGAAATTGATTGAGCTCTCAACTGGTTGTATCCTATCCATCATTGAAAGAAGTTAGATCGTGAAATATCAAATATAGATTTCAAGGGTTGAAAATTTTTGGAAGTTTTCAGTTGGGTTATTATAAGAGCTTTCAGTTGGGTTGAGATTTCAATTCTGTTCTATTTTTTTTCCTCCTCCTTATTTATTTGTGTGACATTGATATGAACATAAACTTTGTAAGATGATGAAGCTTTCAATTTTAACTTTTTTATGATTATATTATTTGTTGTTTATTGGGTTTTTAAAAATGAATTGAGGCGATTTTGAGTATTTGAGTTTAATTTTATATTTACATTAAATGTGTTTAATGATAAATTAATGTGAGATAGAAAAAAAAAAAGACAGAAAAGAAAGAAAAACAAAAGATTTGTCTAAAAAAAATTTGTGAGATTTTATACATTGACCCCCGAAGAGGAAATTCCTGAATTCGCCACTGAACGTACACAGAAACTTTCAACAAAGAAAGAGAAAAGCTTTAAAAGGAATGGACGATGAAGGATCAAAGAGCATGATCAGAGAGAAAAACCTATGTTAACAGAACATAGGGAGTAGAACGTTCAACGCACGTATGCAAGGGTGAAGGGAGAGAGTCGAGAGTCCACACTCGCGCATGTCAAATTAATGCACTTGGCTTGACAATGAAAAGGTGGCATGCAAATATGTAATTGCCTTGAAACTTGCAAAGTACGAGATGTCTAATCTAGTGCGCATTTTTTACCAAGAAATTCAAAAGAGAAAACAAACAAAGGATACAATGACGTCTTTAATGTAATAAGCGTCATGTTTAGGTTGAAATTTTAACGACGGTTGTTTTTTTTTCCGTCGATGTTTTTTAAAGAGCGCGCTTTCTAAAAATTTCACCGCGACCTAAAATTTTCAGATTTCGCTCTAACTCTTATACTTGTAACCCTGAACCAAGTTGGCCATAGTCTGTGACCTAAAACATTTCACTCCGCTCTCTCACTTCAACTCTAATTCAAAGTTGGGCTCTCCAGGCTCTGTCGAATCCAAGTTGGCCATAATCTGTGAGCTCTGCCTACCTGTAAGTACAAACCCTAATCTCATGCTTGTAAATTCATTGAATGATATTTAGTTCTGTGGTAAAGGGTTTTGTGATTTTTTAATGTTGTCGGAGGTATGGGTTAATGGATTTAATGTTTAATGTTTTCATGAATCGGGAATGGATTTAATGTTGTCAGATCTTTTAATCACTCTCTGTTATTATGAATCGGGAATGAATTTAATGTTTTCATGCTTAGTATATGTTGGTTTCGTGCTTAGTATACGTGTTCTTAATACCCAATATGAAAATTAATGTATATGTTGTGTTCTTAATATATTTTGGGTTCTTGAAAATAAACTGGGATTTCGATATCTTTTCTAGGCATACGACGACGGTAACCGTCGTCTGTATTTGTATACCACGACGCATTTTTTAACTACCGTCGTGGTTCAATTTCGTTGGCCTCTATTTTTGCTAGCATTAGACGACGTTTTTTTAGAACCCGTCGTCTATATATGTGTAATACGTCTGTTGTTGTTTAAAAACCGTCGCATGTATACTATATTACTTGCTATTAAAACTTTATATAATCTGCTATAGTTATGGTCATTGCTTGTCTTTTCACCTTATTATAGATAATATGATATAGTGTCGGAGAAGGATAAGTCATGGATGCACTCGGATAGAAGATCGAAGGCATATGAGTTAGGGGTGGAAGCATTTTTGCAATTTTCTGTAGAAAATCTTCTAACTACAACGCATATCCGTTGTCCATGTGTTAAATGTGTGAATTTGAAATGGGGTTGGAATTATAAGGGATCACTTATACTTTAATGGAGTTGACCAAAGCTATAAGAATTGGACATTTCATGGAGAACCTTGGGAAGTAACTACTAATGCAGAAATGTTAAAGAAGATGATGACCATAGTAGGTACAGTTTTGTGTCTGAAGAAATAGAGATGGACGATAATGATTTTGGTGATTTTGGATCCGATCCTTATGAGTTTGCTAATGTGATTGGGGATGGAGATCAACCATTGTACCCTGGTTGTAGAAAGTACACCAAGTTATCGGCATTAGTGAAGTTGTATA